GTTTCTTATTTAGAGGAGTGAGTGGGCACTCTTTAGGGACCACACTGTTTGGGGTTCAGCCCCCATGAGAGCCCCTGTGAGAGCCCCTGTGAGAGCCCCTGTGAGAGCCACTGTGAGTTGACCTTTGAGCTTGGGTGAATATTGAGAGTTTTGCTGTCCTTCTGTCTTAAGGCTTATTTCCATGACATTGTCTCTCTGGTCTCTTTCTCTGGTCTCTTTGTAGTCTCTCACTGTAGTCTCCCTCTCTGGTGTCTATACAGTCTCTCTCTGTGGCCTCTCCCTTTATAGTCTCTCTCTCTCTCTCTCTGGTTTCTGATCAGGTCTAGTTATTTTACTTACACCTCTAGCTAAAATAACTTTCGAAACTCTGATTCATATCCAAGGGACCAGAGTGTGTGATTAATGGACTCCCCTTCAGCGCGGACTCCTCTCATCACAACTCAACTTCTGCAGGTGTTTCAGAGGTCTGTACTCCGGAACAGTGAATTGGAGCGGGATTAAGGGTCAGCGCAGAGTGATTTCTCAAAGTCCGAGGTTTGATGGACTTTAGGAGCCGCTGCAGAGAGATCAGATCCAAAGCTGAGAGTATAGCTACACAGTAGAGCTTGCGAGAGGTGAGAGCAGCACATATACAGCTATATTCCAAAAAGGTGTTTCAGCAATCCTTCTCAACTCTACCACATCCTATTCTACTCTACCCCAATTAGAAATCTTTTCACTGGCCCTGTTTAACCAGTAATAGGTCCTTCTTTAGTCCCTCTTTGCCCTGGTTCTATCCAGGCGGAGCTGGTACAAAAGTGTTCCAACTGACTGTGAATGGCCAGAGTGCTGCTGGAAGCCATGGTTATCAAGGAATTTCCCTGGATACTAGTTTGTTGTGGATAGGTGGATAGGGAACCATGATAATATCTTCAGTAGAAAATGTACATTGAAACAAGAATGAAGGGTATCGTAATGAGAATGAGAAAACAATCTGTGTAGTTAGATTTACACAATATTCCCTTTTAGTTTGACTCCAGTCCATTCAACAGCCGGTTCATCTGTTCACAGCTGCCTCTCCAGGAGTCGTGGCCCTCAGCCTGATTCCTCTGCTCACAGCTCCCCCTGCAGGAGCCTGAGAGCTCCACGCCTGCTGCTTGTCTCAGCTCAATACACTATTCAGCGTGCTATTATAAAGACACTCCAAACACTCTGTGCTTCTCCGGAGGCAAAAACCAATGAAGCTGCAGTCGTTTAGAGGAAAATGTGGTTTTTACATTTATAACAAGCCCCAGGCAAAAAATCTGTGGTTACAAGTGACAGCAGAGAGACCAGAGAGAGACCAGAGAGGGAGACCATGAGAGAGAGAGACCAGCGAGAGACCAGAGAGAGACCAGAGAGAGATCAGAGAGAGACCAGAGAGAGACCAGAGAGGGAGAGCATGAGAGAGAGAGACCAGCGAGAGACCAGAGAGAGACCAGAGCGAGATCAGAGAGAGACCAGAGAGAGACCAGAGAGGGAGAGCATGAGAGAGAGAGACCAGCGAGAGACCAGAGAGAGATCAGAGAGAGACCAGAGAGGGAGGCCAAAGAGAGAGATCAGCGAGAGACCAGAGAGAGATCAGAGAGAGACCAGAGAGAGATCAGCGAGAGACCAGAGAGAGATCAGAGAGAGACCAGAGAGAGACCAGAGAGGGAGAGCATGAGAGAGAGAGACCAGCGAGAGACCAGAGAGAGATCAGCGAGAGACCAGAGAGAGACCAGAGGGAGATCAGAGAGAGAGACCAGAGAGAGAGACCAGAGAGGGAGAGCATGAGAGAGAGAGACCAGCGAGAGACCAGAGAGAGATCAGAGAGAGACCAGAGAGGGAGGCCAAAGAGAGAGATCAGCGAGAGACCAGAGAGAGACCAGAGAGAGATCAGCGAGAGACCAGAGAGAGATCAGCGAGAGACCAGAGAGAGACCAGAGAGAGATCAGAGAGAGACCAGAGAGAGATCAGCGAGAGACCAGAGAGAGACCAGAGAGAGACCAGAGAGAGACCAGAGAGAGACCAGAGAGAGACCAGAGAGAGATCAGCGAGAGAGACCACAGAGAGAGACCAGAGAGAGACCAGAGAGAGAAAGATAAAGCAGAGAGAGAGAACAGGTAGAGGGAGCAGAGAGAGAACCAAGAGAGACCAGAGAGAGAGAGACCAAGGAGAGACCAGAGAGAGAGACCATGAGAGACCAGAGAGAGACCAGAGAGAGACCAGAGAGAGACCAGAGAGAGACCAGAGAGAGACCAGAGAGAGACCAGAGAGAGACCAGAGAGAGACCAAGGAGAGACCAGAGGGAGACAAGAGAGAAAAAAACAGACAGAGGGAGCAGAGCTACAAATAAAGCCGTCGTCGTTTAGAGGCAGATAGGAGTGGTTTACATTTACAACAAGCTCCAGGCAAACAATCTGTGGATACAAGTGAGAGCAAAGAGTATTTATTTACAGCCCTAAAATAATATGCAAATGAAGGCTACTGCTAATTATGATAATACAAAGAACACATTGGCTTAGTGCATTTGTCTTGTTTTAACTATTTTAGGTTATCACGCACACGTACACAGCAGACGCTAAAATCATCTCTTCACAAACTGAAGAAATGTGAGGCTTTGTTTTTCAATGTCAGACACAATGCAATTTTAAAGTTGGCTTTGGGCTATCAGCGCAATGCAGTGATTTATATAAAAATATATTGTCTATAAAATACAATTCTGTGGGAATAGTTCAATTAAAGTAGGAGCTAAAGCAGTGCCTCCTCCAGCTAAGTCATTTATGAAATAACTATAGAATGTTTTCATGGACCAGCTTTACATACAGCGTTTATATACACTGGGGCCTGGTTTATCGTGGGGGTTGTGTTTTATAAATTACCCACAATAAGTAGAGTAGCCAGAGACACACGAGAGAGGGATCAAAAGGAGAGACCCAAGAAAGACCAAAGAGAGAGACCAGAGAGACACTATGCCAAAATCAAACCTGTGGGCCAAATTCGTCTCGCAAAACAATTTTTTGTGGACCCTGAAATTATTTTCAATGACCTTTATTACATTGAATTACAACTATGGTATGATATACTTAATTTTAAATCCTGTTACCTCAGGAAAACAACCAAACCATTGAATATGTTCTAACTAAAATGTAATTAGTGGTTATAATGTTATATTTAACTCTCAATCTTCAAATACACTCTTGATATTTGGCTCAAACGTGGTTAAATCTAAACCTACTAGAAACAAATGTCCAAACTGATGTCTTTATCATTGCATTTATTGTGATGTAGATTCTCTGACCTGTGTTGTAAAGTCCTTCGAGATAACTAATGATGAAGTGATTTAGTGCTATACACGAATAAACAATCGCATTGAATTAAATGTCAAATACAATTAATTTGTCAAAGAACAAATAAAGCATGCATTCCAACTGTATACTACAATGTGCTCTTATGTTTAAAATGTGGCCCCTAAACAAAATGAGTTTGATACCCCTGCCATAGAGTCCAGAGAGAGACTAAACAGAGACTAAACAGAGACAAAAAGGATAATGTTAACTGTCATGTACTGCAGTTACTTGATATTGTGTTTTGGTGTTGTTGGAGTGGAGACAGGAGAAGCATGGTTGAAAAAAAGCACAACTAAACAAAACTCCACAAAACATTGAGGCCACGAAAGGTGAACAGTGTTTTTGTGAGGGACCAGTGCTTTTGGAAGTCACTCAGAAATAGTGAGTTTCTTCATAAGTGGCAAAGAGCTATGGTCCCCGTTACATACAGTATTTACGTTTTCGAGTGTCATGTTAAAAGCTCCTTGGTTCGATTCAGATGGGCCGTTACATAGTGGAGTTTGCTTGTTCTCCCTGTGTCTGCTAAGGTTTCCTCCTGGTGCTTCGGTTTCCCCTCCTGGACCTCCCATCACTGTGTGGAGCCAGAGGAAAAACTAAATATAGTAGTTTGTCATGCACCCACGACCATCTGAATGATGAAAGTGAAAACTCTCAAATAGCTCAGATCAAATAAATATTGAGGAAACGGCTTGTGTTCCATGGGCCCGTAACGGAAAGAGACGGTGTTTTATTGATCCATTGGGACCAATATTTCAAGAATATATATACAAGATTTTGACTTTAAAAGTGAAATAAAAGATAGATAGATACTCATAGATAGAAATTCAGATGTCTAGTACCAGTAGAAAAACACCCATCCAAACAAACAAAACAAATACATTGAATTTTCTAAAAAGCACTTCAGGTCACAGCCGCAGAGGTGGAGCAGCAGCTTGGTTTGAACCCTTTTCTCTGCTCTAGTCCAAAGCAAAATGCTGAATGCTTCATTAGCATTTTCCAATAAGTTAACATTCCTCCAGCGGATTTTTCGGCTGATCCTCTTGGTTTGGCCCAAGAATCCTCTCCGCTCCGGTCTGGACCAGTGCAAAACCACAAACACTGCACTGCAGCAACATCTCAAGTACAAAAAAGCAAGAAAAATAACATTTGTAAAACACAGAACAACAACTGTTTCAGAGCTACTTAGGACTTGCTGCCGTTTCCAGCGCATTCAGAAGTAAACAAGGGGTTTTCTTTGAGAGAGGTTCAATATAAGTATTTTTTCAACGTGTATATTTTACAGTCTTTTTCAGTCTTTTTGGGTGAAATTTTTTGGAACAAATGTTGTTCAGTTACTGTTTGTTTGCACGGGTGAAAAAGGCTTGATTATCATTTTTGTGGCCGATATAAACACATACTGTTACTAATACTGCATGTTCTGATGAGTTGAAAATGCTCATGCAGGCTGTGTGTCTGACTCATGTGATCAATCTGTGGGAGAAAACTTAGATCAGAATCACACATCGTCATAGCAGTTGTTTCTAAAATTGAGTTTGACTTCAGTAGAAATCATTCTCTACCGAGCAACACTTTGCTTCTTTGGACTTTTGCGTTCCCTCCTCATCAGATACAATCACGGTGGTACCTGTTGCTCAGCTGGGGACCAATCACATGCCGGCTTCATGCCAGACTTATCAAGGCTCCAAGGTTAATGTGGGGTAAGAGAAAAGCGTTTTCAATTAGAACCAGTGTCGCTGGGCAAGGTGTGAGTGCGCTGGCACAATTACGGGCGAAGTATTCAATGTATTTGTGTATCATCCTTAATCAAAACAGCAGTTTTCTCAGAGGACTTTACAACAACAGATCAGAGAATCAAACAGTTCACAGGAAATGCTATAATAGCAAACACTAAGAAGCCATTGGTCCATAGGGAGCGGGATGACCAGTGTCCAGAAATGTTAATAAATGTGCAGTAATGTTCCGAATCATCACTGTCATTAGATCCTCCGGCATCTGCAAGGAACCACCCAGAATCCCAGAGAGAAACCTCAGGGAAGGACATATTGAGAGAGGGATCCACTCCCACAGAGGCTATAGATCCAGGACTGAGACTGTAGATGGGACAGCAGGTGGCAATGAAAAATGCCCAGAACAGGAAGCATCCCAAACAGATGCCCGAGACACCTCAACTGGCTCCTCCCCACATGGAGAAGCAGCAGCTCTACACTGAGCTCCTACCGTGTGAATAAGCTCCTCACCCTGTCTCTAAGGGAGCACCCAGCCACTCTGCGGTCGCTGTAAAGAATGTCATGTCGTGTCATTTTCTACCCCTTTATTGATCAATTTCTGGGTCGGGGGGGGTGGCAATCAGAGCCGCCACCCAAGTCTCAATGCACCAGTCCCTCGCTGATCCTCCTGCAGGGGGTGGGTGCACAGGATAGAATGTCATTTTAGCCAAATTGCTAAAACTAATTTATGGCCAATGGTTTTGTTTTAAAAGCAGAAACCTATTCTGAGCGTGACGTCATAGTGGTTCAAGGACATCACACTGATACAGGACTTTGAGCTTTTAAACAGAAAGGGTGGAGCTACAACTCCAGGTCTGTTTTGATGATGAGTGAATGACCTGCTCCACTTTATAAATACAAGGGTCATCCCCAACATTTAATGAGAAGCAAAGCGAAGGTTATTGGCTTTGCGGTTTCCTGTCTGTCATCTGGATTGACAAGGTTGTATTATTGTCCTGGGTAATTTTTAGGCCCTGTGCTTTCCCTCCCATAAATAATTACTACATCTCCTGAAAAAAAGGAGTCCACTGGTTTGTCAGTTGTTGTTTTCAAAATTCTTATATATCCCTGTATTATGCTGGGCCTATCCCTCTGGGAGAGTGAACCTCTGTCTGTTCAAAATAAATGGCCTTGGAATGGGAAATAAATACCTAGTGATTACTACAGCTACACCTCAACCTCTCGCCCTTGGATCATAAAATTGAACACTTAAACTGTCGTCATGAATCATTTCAGATTTTATTTTCTTTCAATGTCAGCCATAAAGTTTATGTTTAGTTTAGTTATTGACTCAAAACATGGCAAACTACTGTCTATCAATGTTAATAAATGTGCAGATACGTCCTAGATCTTCACTGTCCTTAGACCCCCCTTTATTGGGAAAGAACCACTATGAAGTGTGAGACCATTAAGAGACCTCATGACAGAGGGATTTTCTTCCATGGACGGACAGGCTGTGGTTCCAGGACTGAGGCTGTAGATCCAGGACTGAGGCTGTAGATTAAGGACTGATGCTGTGGATACCGAACCGAGGCTGTGGTTCCAGAACTGAGGCTGTAGATCCAGGACTGAGGCTGTAGATCCAGGACTGAGGCTGTAGATCCAGGACTGAGGCTGTAGATCCAGGACTGAGGCTGTAGATCCAGAACTGAGGCTGTAGATCCAGGACTGAGGCTGTGGTTCCAGGACTGAGGCTGTAGATCCAGGACTGAGGCTGTAGATCCAGGACTGAGGCTGTAGATCCAGGACTGAGGCTGTAGATCCAGGACTGAGGCTGTAGATCCAGGACTGAGGCTGTAGATCCAGGACTGAGGCTGTGGTTCCAGGACTGAGGCTGTAGATCCAGGTCTGAGGCTGTAGATCCAGGACTGAGGCTGTAGATCCAGGACTGAGGCTGTGGTTCCAGGACTGAGGCTGTAGATCCAGGTCTGAGGCTGTAGATCCAGGACTGAGGCTGTAGATCCAGGACTGAGGCTGTGGTTCCACGACCTGAGGCTGTAGATCCAGGACTGAGGCTGTAGATCCAGGACTGAGGCTGTGGTTCCAGGACAAAGCACTATCATTAGTATTTCACATCGCTCGCTTCACTTCCTGATAGTTCTGCATCGGTACCTGGACAAATTGGACCTTTGTGAAACTGCATTTATCATGTTTTTGTTCTACGGCATGTTCCACACAATTAAATCTGCCTGAAGCCTTTGTCTCCACTCGAACACAACACTATCAGCATTCATGACCAGCAGTAACACAACAGTAGTCACACAACAGCAACACAACATTAATCCCCAGCTCCTGTCACAGCCCTCCCTCTGTATTCCTCTATGGATAATCCTGATTTTTCTTTCACAATAATGACTGGAGCGACTTCATCATCTTTTATTGAACGCTTTTGCCCAAAGGAGCGACACAATTATCACATAAATCATATTGAGTTTCCACAGCACTTCTCCAGCCGCTTCACTGTGTGCTCCCTGGTCCACAGTTTGTGTTAGGGTAGACCGTATCCTTCTCTGTAAAGCTTCTGTGTCCACGTGTCTTTTCTTTGTCGTTGTCTATAGAGACCTATAAATGAGACAGGTTAACGAGGCTGGGTAGAGCCTCTTTTAGGCGGCTGACTCTGGGGGATTACAATCTCATTCAAATCTAAAGTCAAAGTTAAAAGAATCATTTTAAAGATGACACCAGCAACAAAATAGTGTAGAATTCTGACCAGAGGGTACTATCATGTATAGTGAGTTTTTCTCAATATCAACAATATGTTTAAGACTAATTAGGTTCTTAATTGCCACGCCCCCTCAGATGTCACTGATTGACCACGCCCCTCAGCCACGCTTTGGTCTCTGGAACACGTCAGATAATGAAGCAATACTAGCTTCTGTACACTCTTAGTAGAGGAACCTTCCAAGCATTAAACATACAGAAGACAAACAACTTTTTACATTTAATACTTAATTTAAAATCATATATTTATATTTAAACAAGTGCCTTCTGAAATCCACAGATGACGTTTTTGAGAGGAAAGACGCCTTGGGTAATTCTTATTCCGGGTCCACCCCCACCGGCCCAGAGTGGTATTGCAAGCGTGTCCGCGCACATGCTCATGGACCTTTTTGGAGCCGGGACCTGGCCCCACTGGTTTATCTGAGCAATTGAACAAGGCATTTTGTCAGAGAAATGGAGACAAAGACATGGGTAGTCCAGCAGATGTAAGTCCAGCCTCTGTATGAAACCAGTCCCTGTCCCCTCAGCTGCAGAGGATTGGACCTGAGGAAGACCAGTCCCCACAGCTGCAGAGGATTGGACCTGAGGAAGACCAGTCCCCACAGCAGCAGAGGACTGGACCTGTGGAAGACCAGTCCCCACAGCTGCAGAGGATTGGACCTGAGGAAGACCAGTCCCCACAGCTGCAGAGGATTGGACCTGAGGAAGACCAGTCCCCACAGCTGTAGAGGATTGGACCTGAGGAAGACCAGTCCCCACAGCAGCAGAGGACTGGACCTGAGGAAGACCAGTCCCCACAGCAGCAGAGGACTGGACCTGAGGAAGACCAGCCCCCACAGCAGCAGAGGACTGGACCTGAGGAAGACCAGTCCCCACAGCAGCAGAGGACTGGACCTGAGGAAGACCAGCCCCCACAGCAGCAGAGGACTGGACCTGAGGAAGACCAGTCCCCTCAGCAGCAGAGGACTGGACCTGTGGAAGACCAGTCCCCACAGCTGCAGAGGACTGGACCTGAGGAAGACCAGTCCCCACAGCAGCAGAGGACTGGACCTGTGGAAGACCAGTCCCCACAGCTGTAGAGGACTGGACCTGAGGAAGACCAGTCCCCACAGCTGCAGAGGACTGGACCTGAGGAAGACCAGCCCCCACAGCAACAGAGGACTGGACCTGAGGAAGACCAGTCCCCTCAGCAGCAGAGGACTGGACCTGTGGAAGACCAGTCCCCACAGCTGCAGAGGACTGGACCTGAGGAAGACCAGTCCCCACAGCAGCAGAGGACTGGACCTGTGGAAGACCAGTCCCCACAGCTGTAGAGGACTGGACCTGAGGAAGACCAGTTCCCACAGCTGTAGAGGATTGGACCTGTGGAAGACCAGTCCCCACAGCAGCAGAGGACTGGACCTGAGGAAGACCAGTCCCCTCAGCTGCAGAGGACTGGACCTGAGGAAGACCAGTCCCCACAGCTGCAGAGGACTGGACCTGTGGAAGACCAGTCCCCACAGCAGCAGAGGACTGGACCTGTGGAAGACCAGTCCCCACAGCTGCAGAGGACTGGACCTGAGGAAGACCAGTCCCCACAGCTGCAGAGGACTGGACCTGAGGAAGACCAGCCCCCACAGCAGCAGAGGACTGGACCTGAGGAAGACCAGTCCCCTCAGCAGCAGAGGACTGGACCTGTGGAAGACCAGTCCCCACAGCTGCAGAGGACTGGACCTGAGGAAGACCAGTCCCCACAGCAGCAGAGGACTGGACCTGTGGAAGACCAGTCCCCACAGCTGTAGAGGACTGGACCTGAGGAAGACCAGTCCCCACAGCTGTAGAGGATTGGACCTGTGGAAGACCAGTCCCCACAGCAGCAGAGGACTGGACCGGAGGAAGACCAGTCCCCTCAGCTGCAGAGGACTGGACCTGAGGAAGACCAGTCCCCACAGCTGCAGAGGACTGGACCTGTGGAAGACCAGTCCCCACAGCAGCAGAGGACTGGACCTGTGGAAGACCAGTCCCCACAGCTGCAGAGGACTGGACCTGAGGAAGACCAGTCCCCTCAGCTGCAGAGGACTGGACCTGAGGAAGACCAGTCCCCTCAGCTGCAGAGGACTGGACCTGAGGAAGACCAGTCCCCTCAGCTGCAGAGGACTGGACCTGAGGAAGACCAGTCCCCACAGCTGCAGAGGACTGGACCTGTGGAAGACCAGTCCCCACAGCTGCAGAGGACTGGACCTGAGGAAGACCAGTCCCCTCAACTGCAGAGGACTGGACCTGAGGAAGACCAGTCCCCTCAGCTGCAGAGGACTGGACCTGAGGAAGACCAGTCCCCACAGCAGCAGAGGACTGGACCTGAGGAAGACCAGTCCCCTCAGCTGTAGAGGACTGGACCTGAGGAAGACCAGTCCCCACAGCTGCAGAGGACTGGACCTGAGGAAGACCAGTCCCCTCAGCTGCAGAGGACTGGACCTGAGGAAGACCAGTCCCCACAGCTGCAGAGGACTGGACCTGAGGAAGACCAGTCCCCACAGCTGTAGAGGACTGGACAGAGATCTGAGACCAGGAATTTGTAGACCGGAAACAGAGCGGTGTGTTTACACATGTAGCTCATTAGGCATTCTGTCTGTGGCTTGTCTTCAGCTGTCATACGTCAACAGCCCCCCCCTCACAGGTCTGCATGAGGTCTGCATGAGGCCCAGATCAGATCCTGAGCACAGAGTAAGGAACAGTGAGGTCAGAGCAGAGAGCACAGAGGACAGTTGTCAGAAGTCAAAGAGGAGGTTTTTGGACCCGGGTTTAAAAAGGAGACCACTGGATTAAAAGCAAATTAAAAACGATTTATTATAAACACATTAAAAAGCATTAAAAAACAATTAAAACCTAGGCTAAAAAAAACACGGACTAAAGAACTAAAACAGAGGCTAAAAATCCCTCTCCTGGCCCCGGCCTGGGCCGCCAGACCACGGGGCTCTTTCCCTTCACCGTGTCTGGCGGCTGGCCCACGTCTCACTCTCCAACTGCCTCCTCCGCCCCCTCCCCATCTCCTTTTGTACGCAAGGCACAGGTGTTCTAATTGTCATCACGTGGGGAGCCGGGGGTGCCGGGGGTGCTTAAAACCTTATTAAAACCCACTACCCATTCTGCACCCACCGACACAGTCGCAACGCTGGAATTAACTAAAATGTATGTTTTATCTACAATCATTCAATTTAATGCTCTATTTCAGTTTGAGTTAAGTTGTGGATTCCTCAACAGCAGATCCGAGTATCAAACAGTTCAAACCCAAGAAATGCAATAAAAACAAACAAGCTTCAGTGACTTATTCACCCACTCTGTTTGAAGGACGGGTTCTGCAGGTCTTTCCTTCCTGGAACCATGTGTGTGTGTGTGTGTGTGTGTGTGTGTGTGTGTGTGTGTGTGTGTGTGTGTGTGTGTGTGTGTGTGTGTGTGTGTGTGTGTGTGTGTGTGTGTGTGTGTGTGTGTGTGTGTGCGTGTGTGTGTGTGTGTGTGTGTGTGTGTGTGCGTGCGTGCGTGCGTGCGTGCGTGCGTGCGTGCGTGCGTGTGTGTGTGTGCATGTAGAAAATGGATGGATAATACAATATGAAAGACCAAGGCTATGCCATAGAGCAGCCATCCTCCTGTGGACTCACCACCTGCAGGTGGCCTGGCCACCCCCCCAACCCAGAAATGGATTAAGGGGTAGAAAATGGATAGATGGATAATATAAAATGTACATTAATATATTTACTTTTTTTGAATTTTGTTTTAGAATTTCATTCGGAAGCAAGTTTTTTTTAATCACTTTTTACATTCTTTTTAGGGTTTTAAATGTTATTGGGTCTTAACATGTTATTATTTCAGATTTGAGGAACAGTAGTAGTTGAATCCTGCATTATGAATAATTCTAAAAATTCTTTTTTTTGCACCATAATGAAGTCATTAAGATTGGTTTTGTACGTATTGCCTCATATTGCCCACACAGAACCTGATGTATGCAAGACAAGATCCAGGACCGAGGCTGTAGATCCAGGACTGAGGCTGTAGATCCAGGACTGAGGCTGAAGATCCAGGACTGAGGCTGTAGATCCAGGACTGAGGCTGTAGACCCAGGACTGAGGCTGTAGATCCAGGACTGAGGCTGTAGATCCAGGACTGAGGCTGTAGATCCAGGACTGAGGCTGTAGATCCAGGGACTGAGGCTGTAGATCCAGGACTGAGGCTGTAGATCCAGGACTGAGGCTGTAGATCCAGGACTGAGGCTGTAGATCCAGGACTGAGGCCGTAGATCCAGGACTGAGGCTGTAGATCCAGGACTGAGGCTGTAGATTCAGGACTGAGGCTGTAGACCCAGGACTGAGGCTGTAGATCCAGGACTGAGGCTGTAGATCCAGGACTGAGGCTGTAGATCCAGGACTGAGGCTGTAGATCCAGGACTGAGGCTGTAGATCCAGGACTGAGGCTGTAGATCCAGGACTGAGGCTGTAGATCCAGGACTGAGGCTGTAGATCCAGGACTGAGGCTGTAGATCCAGGACTGAGGCTGTAGATCCAGGACTGAGGCTGTAGATCCAGTACTGAGGCTGTAGACCCAGGACTGAGGCTGTAGATCCAGGACTGAGGCTGTAGATCCAGGGACTGAGGCTGTAGATCCAGGACTGAGGCTGTAGATCCAGGACTGAGGCTGTAGATCCAGGACTGAGGCTGTAGATCCAGGACTGAGGCTGTAGATCCAGGACTGAGGCTGTAGATCCAGGACTGAGGCTGTAGATCCAGGACTGAAGCTTTAGAATGTAGAATGGTTATGTAAAACACTCCCAATCAGGGAAGAAAAGAAGGGTCAAGTAGAGCCGGTGGAAACTCAGCTTTTGAAATGGTGAAGGTGTTGGCATTTGTTGTCCGTAAGTAATTGAGGTAAATGCGGTCAGCTCAGTTTTTTATTTATTTATTTATTTGATATTGACAATGCACATTAATTAACCTCTGTAAAACACAAATGTAGATTGTAAAGCTACAGAGCTAGTTTTCCCTCTTTTGTCACTTAATAGGAAAACACATACATGACAACAAGACAACAGCAGCAGGAAACGTTAAGAGTCTTGTTGTCACATGTGGTTGTGGTTCTTTTTCAGTCATAGTTTGACTTGAGTTTTAAAGCTAATCAGTCGAGGGCTTTCCGGATGTGCAGAGGAAGACTGTTCCAGATGTGAGTGGCCCTCACAGAGAGAGTGTTCTCATACCACTTGAAGTCTTAATACAGGAGCTGGAGCTAATCCATGTAGCGCTTTGTAAATGAAGCATACATACTCTTGTAAAATTTGGAGGGACTAGACAGACACAGGAAATGCATTAAACAAGTTTACTAATTTTACATTTGTTTGGTGCACAAACACCAGCTGTTTGTGCAGGTTTTCGTCAAATCTATATTATCAAATGGGTAACGATGGCGAGAGAGTAACTTGTGAGGCAACATTCCCTATGGGATAAAATCATTGAATGTATAAGCCTCCTAGCAGCAACAAGTGTAAAAAGGCTTGATTTGTTTAACATTTCAATCAAGTGTCACACCAAGATACTTGAAGTAAGTAGTAGTAAGTAGTAAGTAATCTTTATTTATATACCGCCTTTTCACTGCAGATCTGAGTCTCAAAGCGGTTTACAATTGTTAATTTTTATTTATTTATATATTTTTTTTTGGGAATTTGTCGCTCACTCCACACAGAGATGGGAGCGGGGTCGCCAGTATAGGAGGCACATGCCAGAACTATTGGACATATTTTTAGTGAAAAAAGTTAGTTTAGTTGAATTATGTGACGAGTTTAACTTCTCAAGAATATTTTTAGATACTTTGTTTTCTCTTTTGATGTATAATCCTGTCATTTGGTGGTGTGCAGGCCTGGTCTCTCGCTCTCTCTCGGACCTGGGGCAGGTGTCTGTGCAGCCGGATCTCACAAGTACTTCTCTCCCTCTCAGGGCCCTGGGGCAGGTGTATGGGCAGTGACTGTGGCCCCGGAGGCAGCCAGAGCAGGGCTGTGTGGTGTGCTCACATAGACGGATGGACCACCCTCCACACCAACTGTGAGCAGAGTCTCCGCCCCTCCAACCAGCGCAACTGCTTCAGGGTGTGTGACTGGCAGCGTGACCTGTACGGCTGGAGCCTGGGGGCGTGGAACACCTGCATCCCTGTCATCTCCAGGTGTGTGTCGCTGTGACGTAGACTGTGACGTAGACTGTGACGTAGACTGTGACGTAGACTGTGACGTAGACTGTGACGTAGACTGTGACGTAGACTGTGACGCAGACTGTGACGCAGACTGTGACGCAGACTGTGATGTAGACTGTGACGTAGACTGTGACGTAGACTGTGACGTAGACTGTGACGTAGACTGTGACGTAGACTGTGACGTAGACTGTGACGTAGACTGTGACGTAGACTGTGACGTAGACTGTGATGTAGACTGTGACGTAGACTGTGACGTAGACTGTGACGTAGACTGTGACGCAGACTGTGACGTAGACTGTGACGTAGACTGTGACGTAGACTGTGACGTAGACTGTGACGTAGACTGTGACGTAGACTGTGATGTAGGAATGTGATGTAGACTGTGATGTAGACTGTGACGTAGACTGTGACGTAGACTGTGACGTAGACTGTGACGTAGACTGTGACGTAGACTGTGACGTAGACTGTGACGTAGACTGTGACGTAGACTGTGACGTAGACTGTGACGCAGACTGTGACGTAGACTGTGATGTAGACTGTGACGTAGACTGTGACGTAGACTGTGACGTAGACTGTGACGTAGACTGTGACGTAGACTGTGACGTAGACTGTGACGTAGACTGTGACGTAGACTGTGACGTAGACTGTGACGTAGACTGTGACGTAGACTGTGATGTAGAATGTGATGTAGACCTGCCAGAGACTAGATGAGAGGGGGTGTAAACATTTGACAGCATACAGAAGATGTGTTTGAGTACATACATACATATACAAGGTAGCATGTGTCACTATGGTATTGTTCGCTGAAACTTGTCAGCAGTTGCAACTAATGGCCATTCCGTCTGCCAGTGACGGTGAGGTTGGTGATTGGTGAGGCGCTGACTTCACCCCAATCAGATGAACATATATTTCATATATCAACACGACCTACAGAGTGGCTTATTCACAATTTGTTTGGCAACAACAAATTATGTTTCATATCCGAACTGTTTGCTCATGCAAAGTATGTGAAAAGCACATTTAAAAGTGTGTTATGGGTCTTACCTTATACATTCAGACCAGTTTCATTTTTAAGTCCAGATAATAGTTTGAGTATAGATGGGTAATCATCCATTTGGATATAAGTTCAATGAGTTTTAAAACTCATTGAACGACAGTAGGGCGACAGTAGCTCAGTTGGTAGAGCATTGGCCTTTGGGCCTGAAGGTCGTGGGTTCGAGCCCACCATAAGACCTACTTCACGACTCCCACTGATGACTGCTGTCGTTGGGCAAGACACTTAACCCTACTTTGCCCAAAGCCCCAACTGAAAGATCTCAGCTCCTGTGGACTCACCACCTGCAGAGGATCAGTGAGGGGCTGGTGCTCTGTGGACTGGGTGCAGCTCTGACTGCCACCCCCCCGACCCAGAAATGGATTAAGGGGAAGAAAATGGATGGATGGATGGATGGAGTTTTAAAAAGTAAAGCAAACGAGTGTCTCCTCCATTGACGTGTTTTGCTAGCTGCAGCCGACTCTCGGGTGCATCCCCATTTAACTTTCTTACACTTCACCTCTCTTCCTTATCATTCCTATCATCATTGGAAGCATAAAATTACCCTAAGTGGCTTTTAAATCATATTAAAATGTGTTATATGTCAGGCCGGGCCTCACCTGACCGCACGTGCCGTCTGCACTGTGAGAAAAGAGCCACTTGACAAAGATCTTTGCCTTTTTAAAATAGGGAGGTTTTCCCAAGTAACAAAATAATGTTTTTATTCCATTTAAAAACATGGAAAAATGAAAGGTAGAATGTCTACCCCTGACCTGAAGAGACTCATTCATGCATGTGTCTCCAGTAACAACTGGGCTTACTTCATCTTCTGTCTTGACTAGAACCAGGAAGTCCTCTCACATTAGTCCAGGTCTCAGGTCTCTGTCCTGAAGTCCTCTCACATTAGTCCTGGTCTCAGGTCTCTGTCCTGAAGTCCTCTCACATTAGTCCTGGTCTCAGGTCTCTGTCCTGAAGTCCTCTCACATTAGTCCTGGTCTCAGGTCTCTGTCCTGAAGTCCTCTCTCACATTAGTCCTGATCTCAGGTCTCTGTCCTGAAGTCTTCTCACATTAGTCCTGGTCTCAGGTCTCTGTCCTGAAGTCCTCTCACATTAGTCCTGGTCTCAGGTCTCTGTCCTGAAGTCCTCTCTCACATTAGTCCTGATCTCAGGTCTCTGTCCTGAAGTCTTCTCACATTAGTCCTGGTCTCAGGTCTCTGTCCTGAAGTCCTCTCACATAGGCTTTAAAGCAACTCTTCTTATGTAAATTTCTCCCGATTCATACAGCTAAAATCTGAAACAGTTGCCTTGAAAGTGTGAGGCAGTGTGTTGTAATCGATGGATGAAATAAAGAGCAGACTCCTTGGCACGTGACATCACACTCTGTGCCCTTGTCTCGATCCTTGTCACTGTACCCATGTCTCTGTGCCATTTACCCATGTCTCTGTCTCCATGTCTCTGTACCCTTCTCTCTGTACCCCCAGGAGCCAGGACCCCCCGCCTGCCCTGTCCTGCTCGGGGGGAGAAGAAGGGCTGCAGACTCGGGAGGTGCTCTGTGTGCAGAAGGCGGACACCTCAGTCACCGACGACTCCATCTGCGAGTACTTTGAGCCCAAACCGCGACTGGAGCAGGCCTGCCTCATCCCCTGCCCCCAGGCCTGCGTGGTATCTGACTACTCCCCCTGGACCTCCTGCTCCAAGACCTGCGGCACGGGCCTCCGCAACCGCGTCCGGAGCGTGCTTGTGCCCCCGGTATTTGGAGGAGCGCAGTGCCCCAACCTCACCGAGTTCCAGTCGTGCAAACCGGGAACTTGCACGGGACCGGACAATGTCTATAGCCTCCGGGTTGGGCCCTGGACTCCCTGTGCTGCCCCACCACTGACCAGGGAGAAGCGGCAGGCCAAGAGGAGGCGGGGCAAAGGGGAGGGGCCCCGGGTTAGAGGGGGGGGCCCCAAAGATCCAGAAACTAAAGAGCTGATTCAGAAGAAGAGGACGCGGAACCGGCTGAACAGGCAGGAGAGCCCTCTGTGGGACGTCCAGGTGGGATTCCAGCGCCGTCCGGTTGTCTGTGTGCATCGCAACGGGAGCACAGTGGCGAAGCAGTAAGTAAAATTAACACTCTGTATTATCGGCCCCCTTGAACCTTTCAACATTTCGCCACATTTCAGGCTTCAAACATAAAGATATAACATTTTAATTTTTTGTCATGAATCAACAACAAGTGGGACACAATCGTGAAGTGGAACAAAATTTATTGGATAATTGAAACTTTTTTGACAAATAAAAAACTGAAAAGTGGGGTGTGCAATATTATTGGGCCCCTTTACTTTCAGTGCAGCAAACTCAGTCCAGAAGTTCAGTGAGGATCTTTGAATGATCCAATGTTGTCCTAAATGACTGATGATGATAAATAGAACCTGTGTGTAATCAAGTCTCCGTATAAATGCACCTGCTCTTTGATAGTCTCAGGGTTCTGTTTAAAGCGCAGAGAACCATGAAGACAAAGGAACACACCAGGCAGGTCCGAGATACTGTTGTGGAGAAGTTTAAAGCCGGATTTGGATACAAAAAGATTTCCCAAGCTTTAAACATCTCAAGGAGCACTGTGCAAGCAATTATATTGAAATGGAAGGAGTATCAGACCACTGCAAATCTACCAAGGCCCGGCCGTCCCTCCAAACTTTCATCTCAAACAAGGAGAAGACTGATCAGAGATGCAGTCAAGAGGCTCATGATCGCTCTGGATGAACTGCAGATAACTACAGCTGAGGTGGGAGAGTCTGTCCATAGGACAACAATCAGTCGTGCACTTCACAAATCTGGCCTTTATGGAAGAGTGGCAAGAAGAAAGCCATTTCTCAAAGATATCCATAAAAGTCTTGTTTAAAGTTTGCCACAAGCCACCTGGGAGACACACCAAACATGTGGAAGAAGGTGCTCTGGTCAAATGAAACCAAAATCGAACTTTTTGGCCACAATGCAAAACAAAGTCGTAGACCAGTTCACATGTTTTCGATGCGTTCAACTGGAGGTTGTTAGTGGAGTCAAACTAACAACCTCCAGTTGAACGCATCCAAAACATGTGAACTGGTCACGACTTCAGTCGCAATAGTTCTCATTTGCCTGTCGTAATCGACAACTCCCAGGTGCAGATCGTAGAGGAGCAAGTTTCTGGGTTTAACTCTGTCTAACCTGAAATGGGTTAAAAACAGTGACCGAGTCGTTAAGAAAGCTCGTCAGCGTCTCTACTTTCTGCATAAACTTAGAGAATTTACCACTAACTCTAAGATTGTGCTTAACTTTTATGGCTGCACCATTGAGAGTTTACTTGTTGGTTCTGTGTCTGTGTGGTTTGGAAACATCACAGATAAAGAAAAGAGAGCTTTAAACAAGGTGCTCCGCTCTGCAAAGAGGACCGTGGGCTGTGAGCTTCCTGTTCTGGAGGTTCTTTATAAATCCAGACTTTTAAACAAAGCTCTTAGGATTGTCAATGACTCTTCTGGCCACCCTGGGAAAGCCATGTTCCAGCTTCTTCCCTCTGGCAGAAGATATCGCTCTCTGAGATGCAGGACATCTCGTTACACTAACAGTTTTTATCCACAGGCTGTTATCAGTGTGAACAGAGCACTTTAATGATTTGCACTTGTTTTGAAACTGTTTTAGTCGATCGATTTCACAGTGACATTTGTTTACTGTTTTATTTGTTTTATTTTTGTCTTTTAATGTTGTTTTATGTCTGTATTTGTCTGTGCACACTGGAGACTTTTGCTAATGTATTCCAATGTGTTTTTTTTTACTGCAAATGGCAAATAAACTGAATCTGAATCTGATCTGAATCTGATATGTTTGGCGTAAAAGCAACACAGCTCATCACCCTGAACACACCATCCCCACTGTCAAACATGGTGGTGGCAGCATCATGCTTTGGGCCTGCTTTTCTTCAGCAGGGACAGGGAACATGGCTAGCTGTAATTGCAGGAAAAGGTGGTGCTACATTTTATTATCGTATTATCGTATTAGCGCAAGGGGGCCAAATAATATTGCCCCACTTTTCAGTTTTTTATTTGTTAAAAAAGTTTAAATTATCCGAAAATTTTTGTTCCACTTCACGATTGTGTCCCACTTGTTGTTGATTCTTGACAAAAAATTTAATTTTTCTATCTTTATGTTTGAAGCCTGAAATGTGGCGAAATGTTAAAAGGTTCAATGGGGGCCGAATACTTTCGCAAGGCACTGTATATGTGTAGACCTTTGTGTACAACTGTCGCACACCAGAGTATATATGTGTACAACTGTCGCACACCAGAGTATATATGTGTACAACAGACTCAAAAACAATAACAGCGAGATACTGTACCACAGTGTTAGCCTTAATGCAGAAGAAGCCGATTTGAACATAATCTAGCTGTAGCCAATTTCCTTGTATTGGCTTTTGTTCCGACATTAGCTTTGTGCCGTAACAGGGGCAGACGTATTGCTAGGATGGTTGCAAATTAAGATGAATGAAGGCATCTTTTCTATGACTCATATCTGGATTTACAGAGACAATATCACAAAATAAACACCAGGATCACAGAGACCACTAAACCATTACATTTTAAGGCCAAAATGATGTGTGTGACACAAATAGTTACTATGCTAGTGGAGTTTACTTTTACATGTAAGTCAATTGGAGCCTTTTTTATGTTTACTGAGGCCTCTAACTCTATTTTTGATGTATACCAGGGGACTCCAGCTCCTCATGTCTCTAGCCACTGCAGAATAGTTGCAGAGAGCTTTTGTGATGGTGGCTGCTGTAAGTGCAATCAGACTGGACCAGAAGCCGAGCGTGAGGCTCTGATAGAGACGCAGATCTGATGCCATCTCCTGCAATCACTCCCATTGTGTTGTGTGTTAAAGACAACTTAAAACACATATTTTTAACTCGAGTTTGTTGAACTTGAGTGCAGTGACTGAACTGTGAGTTCTGTGGCATTCCTCCATGTTTCATCCCTTGTGCAGTTAATGACTTCACCAACAGGGACCTGGCCCAGCAGAGCTCCTGCTGTTGTCTCTCTGATGGAGCCCCAGACAGTGTGGTTTTACTGGTATGTTTGCCACATGGTACCACTAATAAAATTGTATTCAGTTAGTGGTACCGCTGACTGTGAACTGTGCTCCAGAGTCATAGTCCAGTGAACTGTTTTCACTGGACTATGAAGCGCACCTGTGTATAAACCACACCAGCCATGACTTTTATACAGCACTGTTCTGGACACTCAAAAACGCTTTATATCTCATTATACATTCACTCCAAACCCTGGGGCACTCTCACAGAAGTGTGGCAACCAGTCTGTTTCATCAGCCCCTCCCACCACCACCAACCATTCACACACACACACCAGACTCATTCTAATGTGGATGAAGTGTCTTGCCTAAGGACACAATTACAGTTTGTCACTATACAGCCCCACTGTGGTACGTGGTGTTCACCACGCATGTTTGTGTGCTACATCATCAGCTCTGAAGATCAACAGCTGGAGGCTCCAGAGGACATTTCCTTTAAGATGGTCCTAAGATGTAATCGTCTGTGTTCTATCAAACCTAAATATCCTAGACCTGAGCATCATATGTCTTCTTTAACCCCTCGCACACAGTAGTTGTGGAGTGGAAGCTGGAGCTGTTCTATCTTTAAACAAAAGTTGAGCTGGAGAAACTTTGTGTTCTTTAAATATTTGTGGTTTGGGGGCAGGTAAATGTGCGGCTACAGCATCACACGCAGGCTGATCCTCACATCTGCCTCTTTTGACTTTCTATTTCTGCTTTTGTTTGTGAGGCGGCCCTCTCCTCCTCCTAACAAGTAAGCTGTGTATGAGGGGGACTGCTTTTCTCTCAGCTCTGGTGGATGTTTATTGTCACGTCTGGCATGTCGCGCCGCTGTCAGCCCAATGAGGCGCAACGAAAGCTGGCGTTTGATGAGCAGAGAGCAGGAAAGAGGGAGAGTGAGGAGGAGATCCACAGATAAAAATAAAAAAAACATCAATCTAACAGGCTGTGTTATGAAGCCAGACTTTTTTAACGTTTTGTCCCCGTGTTTGTAGCGGGAAACGTACGTCAATCCTGACAAAATCACTTTCCTGACAAAATCACTTTCCTGACAAGGAACATTGAAATGTTGGGAAATGGGGGTAGGGAATTGGGGGGGTGCATGACTTTGTGAAAAAGTTTTGTAATTTGTCCAGGAGAAAAACTTACAGGAAACATGTTACATTATGCTTTCAACCTAAACTTTCCATATTGTTCTCGCTTTATGATTTTAATGTTTCTGTTTTGTGATGAATGAATGAATGATGCCATTATTAGTCCCTCAGGGGAAATTACAGAACACTTTGCATGAAATGTGCTATACAATTACATTTGGCTTGGCTTGAAGTATATATTTCCAAGATCCTGTTTAAGGGCCAAAACGAACACAAATAGTGCATCATATTTCTTCCTTATGAATGAAACAATGAAACCCAATTCAAAAGTCCAATTCAGCAACACCTTAAAGCTGGGGCATGGATCAAATATGATAACTGGATAGGGTATTACTAGCTTTTAGCTGTCCCACCCATGGGCACCCACGGTACTGCGCACTAAATTCACACGGGCTACCCAGAACAATTTCCCATAGAACTCAATGTTGACAAAAACAGCTCAAGCTCAGCTGACAGAGAACCTACAGCCAACATAAAGATCAGATTTTGTGGGGATTTTAGTGCCCGTGGTCATCCTGAAATTGGCCTCCCACTCTAGCTCCGCTTTGATCAGCAGCCACTGATTGGTCAGAATGCGGCCGTTCCCCTCTGTGCACGAGCATGGGAGCTACACACAAATGTGGATCATGGGAGCTTGTCCACTACGCAGGACCAGGAGAACCACAGGATGCCCAAATCTTGGCGAGTTCTGCTAATCTTTCAGTGCACATGGGCCACTAAGCACGAGCCATTCAATTCAATTTCTTGTGGTATAGCCCTAAATAACAACAGTAGTTATCTCAAAGGACTTAAAAAAGACCCGTGAAATCGCCAACACAGATCAGAGAATCAAACAGTTCAAACACAAAGAATAGAGAACACAT